CGAGTGTAGACCCTTGACTTAAGCCCGCATACTGTGGAGGGTGTGGAGCTGAGGGGTCCTGCCCGGGAGCCCTGCACCCTGACCCTCGCCCAGAGGAACGGGCAATATGAGTAAGTAACGCCCGATTGCCGCGGCGGACGGTAGCCTGCCCCGACCGCCCAAGCCCAGCCCAGCCCGGAGGAGCCGACCGCCCTCCTCCCACCGAGGCCGCGCGGGCAACAGGTTCAGGGCCAGGTGTGAAGCCCGAGGGCTCTGCCCGCGGGGTCTGGCCCCAGACTGCCCAGCCGCTGGATGGCTCCTGGCCGGGCGGCTCGGTGAGTGGAAGGACTCAGTGGGCAGGGAAGCAGGAAGCCTGGTTTCTTAGTTCCTGCCCCTGCAACTGACAAGTGTTGTGTAACCTTGGGCAAGTCAATAAAACTCGCTGGGCCTTAGTGCCCTCATCAGTTAAATAAAAACATTTTAATTGCTTACCTTAATAGCCTTTGGAGTTGGAACTGAAAGAATAATAAATGTGAAAGTGGTTTACAAAAAGTAAAAGTGCTCTAGAATCCCTTCATTGTTAACCTTGACAGAAGTGCCTTTTCTTAACCCCATTCAACTGGTTCCTCCAGTCTCCCCACCCGCTCCCACTTGCTAGAAGGCATATTCATTAATTCAGTAATGGTTTAGTGTAGCCCAATAAGTGCCTCATTTATTGACTTGACTGTTAGAAAAGGTAATGAAATGTGCAGAAATATAAATGACATTTGGCTTTTTATCAGTGGGTTACCTTCCACTCTGCCGTGCATGTAGGAGCTCAGTAAATACTCTTGACTGACGGATCAAATGATTATTTTGATAAGCTATCACTATAGCTGCTGATTTCTCTCCTTTGCCACTAGTGCCTCATCTTAAAAATATCTATGGTGACCATTACATTTCATAGGTCCCTATCTATCCCTGTGTGCTTAAGCCACGTCTCTTGGTTGTTCACAGGCTTCCTGACATTAGAGTTTAAAAATTGTTGATCACTTAAGTCCTGCCATTGCCCAACATTGTATTCTGCCTAAAAACAGTTTTTCTCAGTCCCCACTTTTAGACTATCCAGACTCAATCTGTATCTATGCTGTCTAATTATACAGAAGAAATTCCCACTGACCTATCCTGCCCTTTTCTGAGACTTGGTGCCACCTTAACTGGACACCAACTGGCTCTGTGAAGTAGCTCTTCCCTAGGTCCTACTTGGTCAGCTCTGTTGATATAGGAAGCTTATATTATTTTTCCCAAATTTCATCAAACTCAGGAAGACCAATTTAATAAAAGTCAGTTTAACAGAAATGTGAATTAAAAAGGGGACCACCGCTGCCACTTCCAAAGGCGAAAAGGGTGGAGAGATGTGACCCTTGGGCAAACCAGTAAATTTTTTGTGCCTTGGTTTCCTCTTATGTAAAAATAAAATTATGAAGATTAAATAAAATAGCTACGTTGTTGAGATCATCACAGCCTAGGATCTGGTCCCTTCATTCCATAGGTTTGGAACTCTATTCAGCTAATAAGGGAGTGAGCAACTAGCCTTGAGGTAAATGTTTCACTCTGAGCTCTTGTGCTAGAACTTTTAAATTTGCAGTGGTAGCTCTCCTGACTATTTGTGTCTTTCCCACATAAAATCAAATTCTTGTGTTCCATATCTGTATAAGTTATGGGGATACAGCAACAACTAACACTTAATGGCTTGATCTGTGCCAGGTACTATTCTAAGCACTTCTCATGAATTCATTTAACCCTCATGTGAGCAGTACTGTGAAATGGTAATATTTTCATCATCTTTACCTTTTCATAGATTGAGAAATTGAGGCACAGAGATGTTAAGTCACTCACAGTTAGGATGTAGCATAGTCAAGATTTAAACCCATGTAACGTATCTCAGAATTATATCGTCTGAGAAGTTTCTTTAAAAATCATTTATTAAAGACACCTAATACTATCATACCATCTATAATCCTCAAATTCTTTTTTTTTTTAAACATATCTTTATTTCAGAGAGAGGAAAGGAGGGGGAGAGAGAGAGATATAAACATCAATGATCAGAGAGTCATTGATCGGCTGCCTAGCCCACACCCCGGGCTTGTGCCCTGACCGGGAATCGAACCCCGATCTCCTGGATCCTAGGTCGATGCTCAACTGCTGAGCCACGCCTGGCTGGGCAATCCTCAAATTCTTATCTCTTGGGTTCCTTCTCTGAATTGGGTGTCCAGGATTTTTTTACTTTAGGCCTTTTTGTCCCAGAACTCGAAGCCTATTTTAATCTCGTTCTTTAGTTACTGCTGTCAACCATGGAGAAATTTACACGAGAGACTAACATTACAGTTAAAAATAAGGTTTTTGGAAATGGAATAAAACACTAACATTTTTTTCAAGGAAAACAGATTATGATGCAACCTATTGTTTCCTAGAGATAGTGCTGAATCCACATTTATAGTTTCTCTCTGTTCTGCTTGACAACTACCAAATTCTGATTTCCGTTGTTTTGCCATGTGCCTATTATTTTTCATCTTTCTATTCTAAAAGGAATGGTTAGGCAGCATTTTTAAGATTATTCTTAGCTCTACTGTCTTGCTGCAATTTAGTGATTAACACATAGATATTCAATAAATATTTGTGGAATTGACTTAAATTCCCAGTTTATCTTTGATTTCTGATGGGCTTTCTTTGGTTGGGGGGGAGTTGCTTTTTTTTTTTTTAAACATACATAATTAACATACAACATTATGTTAGTTTCAGGTGTACAACATAAAGATTAAATATTTGTATATGTTGAGAAATGATCACCACACATAGTTACAATTTTTTAAAAATAAGTTTTGGGGCTGTAACATACAACCCCATGACTTACTTATTTTATAACTGGAATTTTGTATCTTTTTACCACCTTCACCCATTTTGCCCACCTCCTACCCCCTACCTCTGAGGACCGCCAAGCTGTTTTCTATATCTATGAGTTTGGTTTTTGTTTGGTTTTGTTGACATCATACAATATTTGTCTTGCTCTTATCTGATTTATTTTACTTAGCATAATTCCTTCAAGGTCCATCAGTGTTGCCTGTTTTGTGATCATTTTTAACAGTACATTCCAGTTGAAGCTTTACTGCTAATGTTTAACACCATTTCTAGTCTGGTTACTTTGAGATTATATTGGTATGTGTTCATTTTCCTCAAACTAAGTTCTTCTTCCTTGACTCTTGCTTTGTCAGCCTTTATGTAGTTTCTGGCCTCCATCTGGGTTTATAGGACTCTTCTCGACTCATGAACTTTGCAGGTTGAAAGGCTCCTATATTCCCCTAGTCACCTTAAAATACAAATCCCTGCAAATTAGGATCAGAGCAGAAAAACAGCTTCTTTCCCGTAGTTTATTTTTCTTAGTTCTATCTAAGCAATTTATTTCCTCAGGTTATCTTCTTAAAAGTTAACACATTTGAAAAAATTCATAAAACTAAAACAAGCTCCCCAAAAGGTAAAATAGAAATCAAACCCTTCAAAACAGTGACATTTTTAATGTCAGGTGTTTAACAGTTATATTTAGAAATTCACTTATGTTTATAGCTTAATCTAGTTTGTTTATTCAGCCAATATTCATGTATTAGGCAGGAGGCAAAAGTGAATACGATAGGGTCCCTGCTTTCAAGGAGCTCACATCATCTTGGGAAATAAATAGAACTATAGTGGAGTCCATAAGTGCTATATTACAGGGCCATGCAAAGGGGACAAGGTCTCTGGCTCTGCTTGGGGGTGTTGCGGGGAAGTTTCACACAGGAGGTGATATTTGAGGTGAGTCTCAGGAATAAGAGTATTCCTGGCAAAAAGAACCCCCTGAAGAGTGCTAGATTTGGGGGAAGCGGGAATGTGTTCAGAATGGCCATTTACTGCGGTAGTTTATACCTTGATTCTGGGCGGCAACGGATAATTAGTAAATGAAAATTAATATTTCAGGAGTACATAGGAATTTAGAAATCTCACATTTTATACTCGGAGCCCAAGTTTTTTAGTCATGTTTACCTAGAACTACCAACATGAAGTTGGAAACCAGAGTAAAAAACAAGGGATGTAAAGGCAGTCTGGTGACACCTGCTACCTTGTTGGTTACTGGGGTTATTTTGAGCGATCCAGCTGGCTGGGCACCTCCTCTTAGTCCTCTATGAACCTGTATACTTGTTTGAAGAGATAGAACCATTCTTTGGTAAAAGCCATGGGGATATAATTGGAAAACTGTTTTATGAAATTTCTAATTCCTTCATTCAACAAACTTGAGCGGTTGCTAAGTGCCAGGCACTGTGCTAGGTGCTAGAAATACTGTGGTAAAAAGACGGCCACAGTCCCTGCCCTCGTGGAGTTCACACCTAGCTATTAGTTCTTCACTCTGGTATGCATACTCTTTGTTTCACCATCTTAAGATTGTAAGCTGTTCTTATGATGTAGACTGTTCTGTGTTCTTTATGACGTAGAACAGTGTGGGTATTCAGATATTGATCACCACTAATAGCTTTTAGACCTGGAGCAATATCTAGCTGTCATGATGCTCAGATCCAGGGAACAAGATACAGCAAGCCCAATCAATACAGACTGGATTTGTGTAACACAGCCGTGTATTTTGTTGTTAAATGTTTGGATTTTTCAGTAGCTATTCGTTGATGCATTCTTCTGTTTCCTAGGTTAATAATCCAGTTGCACGGGAAGGAACAGCATGTTCAAGATATCATTCCTATAAATAGCCACTTTAGATGTGTTCAAGGTACTAGCTTTAATTGCTTAGCTAGTTTTATGTTTTTCCATGGTCATTGTTGCCTTGTGTAATACCATACGTATTTAAATTTAAATTTGTCACTGTATATGAAATGACACATACTACTCTTTGCATAAATCTACCACTGAGAAGATGATAAATGCTTTGTTTAAGAGAGCTGAAGGGTTATATTGAAAAAATATATATTCTCACCCGCTTTCCTGGCTGTGGGTTAGAAATGTATGTAGCCTGTTACCTATGTAGGTAGTCTTTTATGCTGACAGACTCATGTGGATTTAAGTGACATTCTTGAGTGACATTCTTAACTGACAAACTGCTCATTGTAAAGTATCAAGGTTACTTGGATTCACACACATTCAGCACTTTATCCCCTCACTATTTGAAATTAGAACATTTGGCAACATACCTTGACACTGGTGAATCATAAGGAAATTGACTCAAGAGAGGACATATTTGGCTTCCTGCCCTCAAATTTAGGGACAGAGAACAGAACATCTGTTGTTTCATCTGCTACGATGAGAATCAAAAAATTGGGAGGTTTGTGTAGGAGGTGTTGCTTGTGTCATGTCACATTGCTCTCGAAAGTAAATTGATTACTAGAGAACAGATGCATGATGTTTCCAGTGGGTCCATTGGCTTCATCAGACAGAAGCATCCTGTGTCAGCTGTAGCTCCTTGGAAAACTTGAATTCTACCTTGCATGAATTCTTTCTTAAACTACATTGAACTTTTTTGATCACAAAAGTAATATATATACTATACAAATTTTGGAAAGAACAGAAAAGAATAGCAAAGCAAATTCCCATCCTTCAGAGATAAACACCTAACATTTTCCCTTCTTCTACACATGTAAATTTTAGAGTGGGTGGGACTCAAACTATATGTAGTGTTTTTTGTCTGTTCTGCATGCCATCATGTTATGAGTGCTTTTCCATGTCATTAATAGCTGTATACTATTCTGTTTTATTAATGGCCCATAATGTAAGTATTTCCCTGTATTTTACATTTGGGTTATTTTCTGTAGCATAAATAGTAATATGATGAACATCTCTGCACAGAAATCTTCCTAAAATCTCTTCTTTCCTTAGGACTTATTCTTGTTAGTAGAAATACTAAGTGGGTATGACTTTTTAAGACAGCATGCATTAAGAATTAAAAATGCCTGCAATAAATGGGATCCACATTGTAGAGAAAGATGAAGTCATAACCATTTAGCTTGCCCTGTGTGAGAGAGACATTGAACAAGGCACTTGCATACCATGCAAGTTGCTGTAGTCACTTTTCATGGCCTAGCACCCTTTGTTACATACCCAGCCCTTTAAGGAGAAAAGCCAAAGAACATGGCTTTAGATTAGTGTCCTATTAACTCTATACCTTTTTGTACTACTTCTAGATTCTCTTTTACCCTGTTTCTCTTAGTATTGTTTTAAATAAGATATACAGCAGAGTGTTAGATTGGAATCTAGGAAAATATGTGCGCACATACACAGTAGTTCCCCATAACAAAAGGAACAGTTACCTCAAGTTTTCATTTCTGTTTCCTGACCTGTGCCCTATTTTGAGAAGTCTATAAATACTCGGGTTTTAAAGAATTAAAGTTACTGAAGAACAATGGTAAACATGTAATAGCTGTGTCCCGATGTCCTGTTGTCCCTTGCTTCATCATTCTAGTGAGAATATTGAGACACTTCTAATATTAGACAGTTTAGTTTCTTACCAGTTGCTTCTGTTGTGTCTGAATAATGGAGCCAAATATACAATCCAGGCTTGTGAAGGAGCTAGAAAAGGCTGAGACTATATCTGGCCACAGTAGACCCAAGCTAATCCCAAGGAGTCAGTACCCAGAGTGCAATGAGCCAGGAAAGTCTGGCAGGTGCTGTTGGCCAAATCCAGGGAAGTCAGAGAGGAAGAGCTGGGTGGGGTCAAGGCACTAAAGGTAAGGAAGGAAGTCCAGGAGAGCCATGGAGAGAAAAGAGAACTCTGAACGTGGAGACTATGCTTTGCCCCAATTTATACTTCCTTTTTGGGTGTGGGAGGCCTTGGACCCACAGGTCTTAGTTGTAGCCTGAAAGTAAAGGAGGCAGGGGTGGAGGTAATGGGATCACTGGGAAATTTTTAGAGACTAGATCTGGGTTAAAAAAGTAATTCACCTCTGGGCTTTTGAGGTCACTTCCTTGGCTTTTTACAAGAATTATCTAAATGATGCTAATTATATGATATTTGTATGTTATAGCTGGGAGGGATTTAAACTCATCTTCACTTGAATTAACATGTTATGTTCCCTACTATTGTATTTCCTTGATTTGCTTTGAGGCGTTCCATTTGGTTACTTGTTCAGTTCATTTTTCTTTTAGTTGAATTGCTCCTAATCTTTAGTATCTAGTGCTATTAAAATCTTGCTTAAAATGCTAACCAAAAAACAAGGATTTTTTAAAGATGTGTTCTAAGACCTAGGAGTGGTGATTGAGAGAAGCAGTTATTTAGTTAGGCATATACTTCTTTTGGTTGTAATGACTGGTTTTCCTCTCCCCTGATCCTGTTCTTTTTTTCCCTTAGAAGCAGAAGAAAATCTTTTGATCGATATAGCTTCAAACAGTGAGTATCTTTCTGAATGGAATTTATTTTCATTCAACAAACATTTACTTGAATATCCACTATGTTTAAGACACTTTTTGCTACATTTTTTATCTTACCATCTTACCCCGTATTCTCCATTCTCTTCAGACAGCCATACAAATTAGCATTGCTTTCCAAAAACATTTAGGCTAAGCATAAGAAAAAGCAGGTGGCTGGCAAGAATCTTTTAAAAAGTTGAAAATAGCCCGGCCGAGCATGGCTCAGTGGTTGAGCATCGACCTGGGATCCAGGACATCACGGTTCGATTCCCGGTCAGGGCACATGCCCGGGTAGGGTTGTGGGCTGGATCCCCAGTCGGGGATGTGCAGGAGGCAGCCGATCAATGACTCACTCATCATTGATGTCTCTCTCTCTCTCCCCCCTCTCCCTTGCTCTCTCTGAGATCAATAAAGATATATTTTAAAATAATAAAAGTTGAAAATATGATCTGCTTTTCTAATGCTGAACTTCTCTGAGCTACCAGTGTTGTTGCTATCAGTTAAATCATTGCTGTGGAACTGATAATTATAGGAAGGGCCAGAAAATGCTTAAAGCACATAAGGTTTATGAGTGTGTTTTTTATCCTCACTGAAGGATATGTTTAGTGATTTTTGGAGAGAGAGGAAGGGAGAGAGAAACATCAATCAGTTGCCTCTCATACACACCCCTACCAGGTATCAAACCCGCAACCTAGGTATGTGTCATGAACAGGAATTGAACCCACCACCTTCTGGTTTACGGGGACGAGGCTCCAAACAACTGACCACCTGCCCAGAGCTTAGTCATTTTTTTTAACTGCTGTTATGCTTTAAACTTCTTTTCAATCCGTTTGTTATTTTTGCATGTTAAGTCATAATGTTTTCCTTTATTTGTTACATTATTTTGGGAGGCTATAGAGTCTCTTGTATTAGGCATACCCCCTTTTTTTTTCTTAAAATAGTTTTGGGCTTTTATTTAAGCCCCACCCCCTCAAGGCATCCCTTTATTAGAACATCGTCTTCTTACTGTTTTCATTCTTTCATTTGTATTTGTTTGAAGCAGATCATCATTGACTTTCTGTGCAAGCTGTTCTTTGCTTATCTAATTGTACTGTGTTATGGGAAGGAGAAGACGGGCACTCTTTGATTGCTGTGGAAAAGAGTATGTGACCACATGAATCTGAATCAAACTGGTTGCCTTAGCTCTTGGTTGAGTCCTTGGATAAGTGGGGCTTGGCTCTTATCTTGGGGTTGTGGATTGTACACACTGTTGTTTGGACACACAGTCCCTGTCCTTGGCACCACTAATTTGCATTGGACAGTTTAGGTGAGCTTTTTCTGGTTGGGGTTTTATTATTCTTTTCTTTGGTCATGGATTCTGGAAATCTTAAGGGCTGATTCTGAAAGGCTAAGTAAACTCAGCTCCTGACTACTTCTCCAGGTATCCAAGAGAGCAAATAACTTAATATCTAGTCTTGTTCTTAGAAAGAAGGCAAAAAGAACACTAAAAAATTTGAGCAAAGATAGTTTAGCAGTGACTGACATTGCTGCTGAATAAAGATACTGAAATATCCTGTTCTTAGTGTAGAGATAGATATTCATCCAAAGCTGAAAAGTTAAACTGAACTGTGCCTTTTCTCTTATAAACACCTAGTTTGTGGCATTAGTTTTGTTGGCCTCTCCTATGTAGAAATTAGCCATGTGTTACTCTGTCCAGAGTTCAAGTTACTAGATCATAGAGGGGAAATGAGTAACCATTTGAATAAAATTTGTCATTTCTGCCCATTTAGTAATATTTACACTGAAACCAAATTTTATCTTGATCTTTGGGCTTCATACATAAACTTTAGAGTATACAGCATGTTGCAGGAGGGGGACCCTGGGTTTGTTAGTATAAATAAATATATATATATATGTATACATATACATGTATACACACACACATATATATATATATAATTTATTTATTTATTCAGAAGAAAGGTCTGGGTCACTAGCACATATTATTTGAAACCAAGAGAGATGATGTGATTGCATATAGAGTTGTGCCATCAGATACTGTATAGTAGCCACTAGTTACATGTGCCTATTTAAATTAATTAGAAATAAAATTAGAAATTTAGTTCCTCAGTTGCGCTAGTCACGTTTCAAGTGCTCATTAGCCACATGCGGTCATTGGTTACCATATTGGACAGTGCAGTTATAGAACATGCCCATTATCACAGTAAGTCCAATGACAGTGCTGTTATAGAATGAGAAAAAGGTTTAGGATTGAACTCTAAGGAACTCTAGTTTTTAAAGGTTAGATAGAGAAGGAGATACCTTAAAGGGCACTGGAAATTAGTGACCAGAGAGAGAGAGAAACTAAATAAATATGGTGCCGTGCCTTTGGAAGAGATTATTTCAAGGAGCGGTCAACTCTTGATTTCTGCTAATAGATCAAATGAGATGAGTGAAGAGCACCCATTGGATTTAGCAATATGAAGGTTATTGGTGACCTTAACCAATCAATTTCATAGGGGTGGTGGGAGCCATAGTTGTATTGAAGTGAATTTAAGAGAGAAATGGGAGGCGAGCAAGTAGCGACTTCGCTTTTTTGAAGGAGCTTGACTGTGGAGGGGAATCTAGATAAGGACTAGAGTCGGAGCAAAATATGGAGTCCGGGAAGGTTTTTTGTTTTTGAAATGGGGAGGATTTAAAACATGATTTAATTTAATGCTGATGGGAAGTAGCTTATGAGACAGGTTAAAAATATTGGGGGGAGGTGTCTAGGAATGATTGTGAGTGTAAGGTTCTTATGAGAATTAGAAGGGTTGTAATTCAAAGAAAAGGTGACCTTTTCTTCCTTGTATCAGGAGGAAAGGAGCAGATGAGTACTAATACAGGCAGGTTTCCATGTGATGGCTTCCATTTTCTCTGAAGTGTGAGGGGAAGCCTTCAGCTTGGAATGAGAGTGCTTAAGAAGAGGGGGATGCAAAGATTGAGGATAAATGAAAAGATGTGAAATAGTTGTTTTGGGTAGTAGTAGGATACTAGTTGACTATGGAAACTTAGATTGCTCCCTATCATAGGGTGACCAGTTGAGGTTAGCAATCAATTTATAATGATGTGTGTGTGTTACTCCCTCTGGTTGCTCAGATATAAGGAAAGAGAAGGCAGTTAGTTGGATTTCTGAGGCTTGGATGTTTGCTAGGTAAGTGCTGTGGAAGAATAGAATGGAAAGGAAGTTCTGGGCTTTTGGAACAGAGCATAATGATGGCATCTGTTTGGTATAAAAGGAAGTGAAAGCAGAAGGGAGGGAGTGAGTGGATGCTGAGAAAGTGGAGGGATCAATAGGCTGGAGGTTCCCTTTTGAGCAAGGAAGGTAGAAGTAATTACAGGTCAGAGTGGGATATTTGAATCAGAGATTTATGAGGTGGTGGTGTTTCTATGATGAAAAGGTCCAGTGTATATAATTGAGGGAGTCCAAGTAGGGACTGAGGGAGTAAGTGGCTGAGGTGGAGGGGCAAGGTCATTGGATAAAGACGTTGAAGGCATTGGCTGGGTTTTCTGTGCAATTTTGAAGGGACCCAAATTAAGGCAGGAGTTTGAGTGGAGAGGAAGTCTCATGAGTCAGGTATTGAACCCTGGATTCAGAAGTTTCTGGGAAGATGGTAAATGATCTCATGGAGGAAAGAGGGGAAGAAGCTGGTATAGCACAAGAGGTGAGTCTCAAAGGAGACAGGATTTTTTCTGTGGGAGGAGAGGGAATGGCCTGGAGATGGTATTAGGACAAATAAAGACACCAATGTTAAATTACATAGGGTTTGGGAAACTACAAACAGCCTCCATTTCAGAGGGCTACAGGGGGAGTGCTGTTCTCAGGGACCAGCCAGTTTGCAAGTGGCTCTGATTTTCAATCTGGATGCATATAGAGTCACTCAGGGAATAATTTAAAAACTACCAGTGCTTGGGCTTCACCCCAGAGATTTTGTTTTATTGGCCTGGGGTGTCAGTATTTTCTAAAAGTGCCTCTGGTAATTCTAAAGCAGCCGTCGTTGGAAACCACTGAGAGTTGCAGGGAATGCTCAGAAAAGTTGAGGATCTAGGAGTGTTGACTGATCACAGAGTCCAGAGGGTTTTTAAAGGGAGCCAAGTAGAAGGTAGGGTCATGGGGCAATTTGTTGTCTTTCCCATGCAGAGAGCATCTAGTGTGTTTTTTTGTAAGCAATTTCTGTAATCTTCTGTCCATTAAATGGGTTAATTTGTTTTTATATGTGCTAAAATATATCTTTCAAGGATTGTGGGAGAGAGAGACTCTGTGTTCTTGTTCTAAGTTTCTATCAGATTGAAACTTCTCTTTTTTATTTTTTTTTTACTGCTTTTAATATAAATTATCTCAGAAAGAAAGGACTACTTGTACCCTGAAGGAGTTTTCTCCTGTGTCTCACGGCTGCTCTTAATTGGCAATCTTTATTCATGCCCCCTCTTTTTATCTCCTCCGTACAGTGGCACCATCACTGATTTTTCTTATTTCTGATCCACTTGGGTACCTTCTTTTTTATTTATTTCTCTATTTTGTCTCTTTTCTTTTCTGATCACTAAATCTGTGGAGATAGAAGCTTAAGGAAATGCAAAAGAAAAAAAAAGAGTCAAAGGTTCGGCAGTGGATTTCCACCATAAGAAAGTAGGATTTTCATTTCATTTTCTCATCTCTTTGTTATTTACAAGTGTGAAACAGTCCATTTAAACAGTCGTTTATGAAATGCCTTCTGTTTGTGAAGTCTATTGTCATGTCACTGTCTCCAGTAAAGTGACCGGCCATCTCTGTTTGCCTGGGACTTTCCTGGTCTTAGCTTTGCAAGTTCTGAGTCCTGAGAAGCCCCTCAGTCACAAACAACCCCAGGATACCATCAAAAGTATGTGCTTGCTGCCTCTTGCTCTCAAGGAGCTTATAGTTTCCAGGGGCATGAGAAAGCAATACATATAATAAATCAGTTAAAATAAAAATATAAACAAGGGCATAGGTTTCCTAGATCACCATATCCAGATGATTGATATAGACAATCACTATAGGGCATCAGAAAAAGGGAGGTCATATGTTGTATACATAAGAAACTAAACTCCCAGATAACTTTACTCATAATTATACTGTCTTCCAATTGCTTGTACTTGAACCAGACCACTCCTGAACATAGGTCTCTATATTGCTTTTGTAAGTTTATTCAAGGCATGCATTTCTCACTAGTAGTGAGGTATAGATTCTTCTTTTCAGACTAATTCAAACCAATCCCACATTCTTTTCTTTTTAATTAGTTTGTAAATTCAATTGCCTAGGTCCAATCTGTACCTAGGAACAACCATCCTAGTCCTTTTACTTTTCATACTTCAGATACTCTTACTATATGATCTGGATTTGAAATAGTAGGAACTTCCAGCTAGGATATGGGAGGAGGGTGGTTGCGCAATTAATTTTTTGCTAGAGTTTAGAGGTCCCTGCATTGACGCCTGAGAGAGATGTCAGAAATAGGAAACTGATTTTAGTATATATTATGTCACTGTATTGGGCTGCTCATTGACACAGTTCACCAGCCCTTTTGATTTCCCTCTCTGCATCACCCTCCAACCCTGCATCACCCTCCACCACCACCTGAATCCCTTGATCTTGTAGACATACTTCCTACATTAAAGGTCTGGAATATTTGTGATCTGGACCTTCTATTAAACCGGTAAGTTGAGAATATGATCCCAAGAAAACAGTGTATCCCATAGCTGTATGTGTATGGATGTCAATTCTTTTTAGATGGCTGCAAAATTCGGGTTCAAGGGGACTGGACCAGAGAGCGCCGCTTTGAAATCCCTGATGAGGAAGGCTGTTTGAAGTTCCTGTCAGAGGTCCGTGCTGCTCAGGAAGGTAACTCAAGACTCAGCAGTTTTCTTTCTACTATTTGAATAGGAGTGAAATTCTGACGTGCTGATACAGAGGCAAGTGTCCATGAGCAAAATACCTCACCCCCTGAGCCTTGATAGCTTTTTTTTAAAATTCAGTAATGAACCCAGGGATGGGTTAGGGAACAAGTCTGTTCAGCTTTAAGGACAATGAGCCAGTTTCCAGAATCTTCAGTATCATGGTATGACAGCTTACTGCAGACCAGAATGTGCCTTTTGCCCCCAAATGATCCCCAGGCTGCTCATTTTCTTAGTCTCTTCCTTTCCATTCAAGAATGCTGCTGGCCCTGCATTTGAGGAGTGCTGAGTGAATGGCTTTTGGTTATCATAAATTCCACTCAATGATGGGCTCCCCAATTTCTGACCATGACCCTTATCTCTCCAGAACACTCACAGCTTCTTGTTCCAGAACAAAAGGACTCATCCAGCTGGTACCAGAAATTAGACACTACGGAAAAACCTAGTTGTTCAGGTACTGAAAAGATTCTTCTTTTCCTGGTTGCTTTTATCATTGTAGAGTCAATAGATTATATCTGGACAGATAATATAATGTGGATTAATATCAATGTCAGGCATCTCCTATGAAGTGGTTTTATGGAGTCCATGCCCACAGACCAAGGTATACTCCTGATCCTTTCTGTGGCATGTTAGCTCTTCAGGAGGCAGCTTAGCAATGTGGTTTTAAAAAGAAAATGCAGCTGGGCTGGGTGTGGCTCGGCGGTTGAGCATCGACCGAGGATCCAGGAGATTGCAGTTCGATTTCCGGTCAGGGCACATGCCCGGGTTCCTGGCTTGACATGCAGGAGGCAGCCAATCAATAACACTCTC